GAGTACAGAGTTAGGAGAAGCTACTGAGCACCACCCGGTGCGTGCCTCATATGTACAAAATCCTGGATCTGATTCCTAGTCCCATTAAATAAACAAGTAAATAAATAAAATTTAAGACCGTGCATGAACACAGCAAATCAGACATGGGCTTTCTTTTAAAGGAGAACAAGTATCATCACCAGATTCTTGTGAATTAAAGCACGTTATAGTCTTTCTGTGCCTCAGTTTTTCCTTCTGTGAAACGGAAATAATAGAGGCCAGAAAGATAGTACAGGAATTAAGGTGCTTGCCTTTTTTTTTTCTTTTTGGGTCACACCCAACAACATTAAGGGGTTACTCCTGGCTCTGCACTCAGGAATTACTCCTGGTGGTGCTTGAGGGACCATATGGGATGCTGGGAATCGAACCTGGGTCCGACGTGTGCAAGGCAAATGCCCTACCTGCTGTGCTATTGCTCCAGCCCCACGGTGCTTGCCTTTTATGCAGCAGATCATGGTTCAGATCTACCATATATTGTTCCCTGAATACTGTCAGGGATCACCCGGGAGTACAGAGGCAGTAATACTCCCTGAGCATAGCTGGCGTGTCCACCCAGAAGTAAATAAAGTGGAACAAATATCACTATATTAATACAGTTGTTACTAAGATTTAATGGGATGGTTATGAAAATCTCTTAGAACTAGGAAATATCTAGGGGGTTAGAGAGCTAGTACAGTGGGAAGGGCACTTGCCTTGCAACCCTGGTTTGATCCCAGGCACCCTATTTGGTCACCTGAGCAGTGTCAGGAGTAATTCCTGGGTAACCCCCAAGCATCACCAGATGTGGCTCAAAAACAAACAAAATAAACCAAAACATCTAATGGATATGTAATACTATCAAAACCCTTTCACCGATGTTATCTACAAATTCTATATATGTACTTCTCTGCCTTTTAAAACACAGTAGCACAAATATACATGTTATTCAGTGAGGTGAATACATACATACTTGGAGATTGCTCATATAAGCCAAACTGTCAAACTGTCAAACTGTCCTCCCGTTTGTTGTTCATCATTTGCTCGAGTGGGCCCAGTAACGTCTCCATTGTGACACTTGTTGCTACTGTGTTTGGCATATTGAATAATCACGGGTAGCTTGCCAGGCTTTGCCGTGTGGGTGAGATACTCTCGGTAGCCTGCCGGGCTCTCTGAGAGGGGTGGAGGAATCGAACTCGGGTCAGCTGCGTTGGCTCATATAAGTAGCTATCAACGATTCTTACTCAGAACCAGAGAGAGCTCACAGGGCTGACTTCATGCTCACAGGGCTGACTTCATGCTTTGCATACAGGAGGCCTGTGTTCAAGCCTCGGCACTGGATGGTCCACTGAGCACGACCTGGAGTAACCCCCAGGCCCCGAGCAGCAAATAGTGGCTGTTAGGGACTGCACAATAGCCCACTGTTGAGATGTGCAATAATTTTCTTTCTCTCTCTCTTTTTTTTTTTTTTTTTTTTGCTTTTTGGGTCACACCCAGCAATTCTCAGGGATTACTCCTGATTCTGCGCTCAGGAATTACTCCTGGCGGTGCTCAGGGAACTATATGGGATGCTGGGATTCGAACCCAGGTTGGCTGCATGCAAGGCAAATGCCCTACCCGCTGTGCTATTGCTCCAGCCCCCGTGCAGTTATTTTCTAAGCACTGTTCCACTGATGTACATTTAGGTTATTTCTAATATTTTGATCCTAAAAACTGTGTAAGGACTAGATATTTGTTCTCATGTACTTACTGGGTAAATTCCCAGAAGCAGCAGAACTGGGCCAGAGGGTAGGCATATTTTTAATGTGAATAGATATTGCCAAATCAGCCTTCTGATGGGAAGTATCCATTTACACCACCACCAATGTTCAAGTTTCAATTTCCCCAGGTCCTCATTACTATAGTGTAGAAAGATAACATTATTGCAACTTGTTCAAACCCCACAATAAAGATAAATGAACCCTTATTTCGGCTAAAAATGACCTGATTCATATAGGGATAAAGAAAAATACTGCTGACTAAGCAGTTACTTGGGTTTAGCAATCACCACCCACCTTCTCTGCTCTGTATAATTTTATTTAGCTCTATAACATGTCAACAGTGAATTGTACCAGAACCAGCCCGTCATTCATAACAGTACCTCTACTCTCTGGCTGAACAGAACAGTTTCATCTGGAGGCTAAACTAATTCAGAACAACAGAGTGACTCACACTGTTTCAGTTGAAAATCCCGTTTAGTTGTTCAGAGAAAAATGAACATTTCTTTGATGAGTTAACCAGTAACTCTTTTGTGTGTATATGATTGTAACTAAGGGTTATACAGTGTTTGAACCTAAAATAGAGAAAGAATTTCTAATAGGCCTACAAGTCAAAATCAGTCAGGCCTGTCTGTTTTGTACATCCCCTTCAGCAAATTATGAAAAGTGAAGCAAAACCCAAAGAAGGAATGAAGAATAAAAGATAAGACCTGACATTGACCATAAACCCTAAAATATTCATATCTGACTTTTTATCAAAGAAGGTTGCTGACTCCTGCAACAGGGAAAGAACTCCAAATTGTGTAGGAAAGATGATGGACAAGGAGTAATTAGTTGCTGTTTTTTGTTTTTGTTTTTGTTTTCTGCTTTTTGGGTCACACCCAGCGATGCACAGGGGTTACTCCTGGTTCATGCACTCAGGAATTACTCCTAGCGGTGCTCGGGGGACCATATGGGATGCTGGGAATCGAATCCAGTCGGGCCGCATGCAAGGCAAACACCCTTCCCGCTGTGCTATCACTCCAGCCCCTCGTTTGTTTCATATTTTTAAGCACTAACATTTAAAAGGTAAAGGTAAAGGCCCTCCCGTTGATCGTCGATTTGCTCGAGCGGGCCCAGTAACGTCTCCATTGGAGACTTTTGTTGTTACTGTGTCTGGCATATCGAATACTCTCGGTAGCTTGCCGGGCTCTCCGAGAGGGGCGGAGGAATCGAACTCGGGTCGGCCATGTTGGCCGCTTGTAAGGCGAACGCCCTACCCGCTGTGCTATAACATTTAGAAAGGGAAAAGTCTCACACAGCTTTCAGGCCAAAGAATATAAGACTTAGGCCAGCAAGACAGTATGGCAGGTAAGGTTCTTACCTTCCACAGAGCCAATCCCAGTTGTTATAAGCAAGACGATAAGATCTTTATTACTTATGCATGAATTTACTTCTGTGGTAACAAGAACGGAACCCAAGTCTCACATAGGCGAGTCTTATGCTTTACGTCTGAGCCATACTCCCAGTCCTTAAAATCAGAAAAAGTTTAGGAGCCAGAGAAATAGCTCAAAGGGCTGGAGCACCTGTTTTGCTGCAGGGACAAGGGTTAGAGCCCAAGTATCACATGGCGCCCCAAGCACCAATAGGAGCTGGGAGTAGCCCCTGAGCACCACCAGCTGTGGCACAAAAACAAGATAAAACACAAAGAAGACATAACAAGTGTAGGTGAGTGCAGAGGGAAATTAATGAATTCCTAATTTAATATTTCTCTCCACTGAATATAAGTGGAACCACAACACCACAGAGGCAATTCTGGAGCACAAGAGGGCTGTGAGAATAGCATTATTATGATCCTTTTTTATTGCAACTCAATGGAATGGAGCCAGCTGCTCAACTTTACCCAAAAGCTCAATAATGAAGCTTGGATGCTGCTTCTCACATCTTCCCTGCTGGTATTTCTATGAGGAAATGTCAACTATGTCAACTAGTGACATCCTTAAGTCACATTTGTATCTTTCAACCCAAGCTCACCAAGAATTACCCATTATAGAAGTAGGTTTTCATTGAGTCCTGCTGGCACTTGGGGGTCAGTCCTTGGGTCATACCTGGCTGTGCTCAATGGATCATCTATGGTTCCAGGGATTGAATTGAGGCTGGACATTTGCAAGACAGATGCTCTAACCTCTCTGTGTCTCTAGCCTTCCTGCTCGTGTTCTTCTGCAAAACTAAGAGCATGCTGATTGGATGAGAAGAGATCATTTTCTGAATATCAGGGAGTTAAAATTTTTAAATGAGGGCCAGAGGAAAAAAACTCATTTAGCTGACTGCATACTTGGCATGTGGGATGCTGTTTTTTTTTTGGGGGGGGGAGGTTGGGGGGGGCACCCAGCAGTCTTCAGTGCTTATTCCTGGCTCTGCACTCAGGGATCACTCCTGGTAGCCACAGGAGATGATATGTGGTCCTGGAGATCAAACCTGGGTCAGCTAGGGGCCCAAGCAATAGTACAGCGTTTGCCTTGCACACAGCCGACCGGGTTTGATCCTTGCCGTCCCATATGGTCCCCTGAGCACCACCAGGAGAAATTCCTGAGCGCAGAGCCAGGGGGTAGCCCCTGAGCATTGCTGATATGACCCAAAAAGCAAAAACAAAAAAGCAAAACCTAGGTCAGCTGCATGCAAGGCAAGCGCCCTATTGGCTATACTATCTCTCCAGTCCCAGGGAGGCTGAGTCTGACTTGGAACCACAAAGTCTCCCCAGCACCACCAGGGGTGACCGGCCAGCACAGGGACTGGAGCAACCCCTAAACAGTGTCCAGGTGTTTTAAATGCAAATTTAAAAGTTTCCTTGATTTTAAACAATAAATCTTATCTTAGATAGTCCAATTATAATAAATAATTAACAAATGAATGAATAAAATATTTGCCTTGGGATTAAGAAGGGCTAAGACCCTTCAGGATAGCTAATCGCACTAAACACACATGCATACAATGATATCTCATTAGAGATTTGTGGATAGGGCATTTTGCAAGAGTGCTTTGTGCAAGTACTAAGACTTGTAACTTCGGATACACAGATCAGCATTCTCTTGAGGCTAGTAATCACAAATATTCATATAATACTTTCAGATATCAATTTTAGATATTCAGCACACCTCTCCCAAAGAAGAGAGACTAGAAATTATCACATCATCGTCCGCTTTACATTTTAGAAAGAAGAGGTTCAGAATAAGGAAGTAAATAACTTACTCCAAATCACCAGGCTAGTCAGTGGCAGTGCTGGGACTTCAAGCTGGGTCTTTTTGCGGTTGTTGTTTTTTGTTATGTTTTGGGGACCTCTCGGGCGGCTCTGGGGAACTCTCCCGGCTCTGTATTTGAGGGCTGCTTCCCGGGTGCTCAGTGCTGGGGACAAGCTGGATCTTTTTTCTTTCTTTCTTTTATTTGGTTTCCGGGCCACACCGGGTGACGCTCAAGGATCACTCCTGGCCAAGCCAGGCTGGGGTGGGGGTAGCGGGGGGACCGTATGCGATGCCCGAGGTCGAACCCGGGATGGGGCGTGTGCGGGGCAGACGTCCTACCCCGAGCTGGATCCTTAGAGATCAGGTCCCATCCTCCCTCTCCCGACAGCATGCCCAACTTGTCCAAGTCACGCCAGAGGCCGGCGAAGGCATTCTGCAGGAAGCCGGAGAGGAAGAAAAGGAAAGCCGGGAGGGAGCGAGAAGACGAGGATGCCCGGAGGAGGTGTGGGACTAGGAAATGAGCTCACCGCTCTCCGGGCCCGCATTCCCGCGGGCAGGGCCACGCACGACCCTGCTCCGCGTGAACCCTGGCCCGGGTCTTCAGACGCCGCAACTGTCTCCGCGGGGAGTCGGGCCGGCGACCCCAAAGCCTCGGGGAAACCTAGAGACCCTGACAGCAGAGCTCGGCCCCGCCCACCAGGGCCGGAGCCCTCTCCCCCCGCCCGCCCCCCCGCCCCGGGTCCCGCGGGCCGGGGCCGAAGGTTCGGGAGAGGCTGGGGTCCGCGGAGGGGCGACGTGCGCGGGGGACACGTGGGCTTTGTGGCGGTAGGCGACAGGAGCGGAGCCGAGGGGCAGGGCGGCGCGGGCGGCTCCGGGACAAGTTGGGGCTGCGAAGGGGCCGGAGCGCCCGAGCAAGCCGCCCAGCCAGGGATGCCGGGCGCGGGGCTCCCGTCCGACGCCCGCGATTGGACGCCGCCCTAAGCCCCGCCCCCGCGGACCCCTTTCCCCTCAGCCCCGCCCAGGCCGCCGGGCGCGCGCGCGGGGAGGGGGGCCGAGCGGGAGGGAGGGGAGGAGAGGCTCGTGCACGCGCCCCGCGGGCTGCGGGCGCGCGAGCCGCGCGCTCCCGCCGCCCGCGTCGCCATCTTTTCCCCCCTCCGTCTGTCTGTCTGCCGTTGGCTTTGTCCGTCTGCAGCACGGCCCCTCGGCTCTCCACCGCCGGCTCGGCCCGGAGCCGCGCGACCGTCCTCCGGGGCCCGGTCCCGGAGAGCCCCGGCCCGGCCGACCCGAGCTGCGGCCCGGGGCCCATTGTCCGGCGGACGGTCCGTCTGTCCGGAGGCGGGGCCCAGGCACCCGGAGCGCCGCAGAACGCCGAGGTGCGGGGTAAAAGCCAAAGAACGGGGCGGAGAGGCGGGCGCCGCGACTCGTCGCCCCGGGGCCGGCCAGGCTGCAGGCGGGGGCTCCCCGCGCCCCGGCTCGCCGCTGTCGCGCTTCTTTGTCTGCGCGTGGGGAGGGGGCGACGGGCGGGGCGGCGGCCCCGGGGGGCGCGAGCGGCTTGCCCGGGCCCGACTCCCGGCCGGCGGGGCGCGGGGCAGGGCGGCGGCGCGTGGGCGCGTGGGCCCGGGGCGGCCCGGCGGGGCCCGGCGGCCGCTGACAGCCCGGGGTGGAGCCGTGGGACGGCGACGGGGGGCGTGGGAGTGCGGCCCCCGGGTCCCCGCGCCAGCCCGTTCGGGTCTCGGGGAAGACGCGCCCCGGGAGCGACCTGTGCGCGCGCAGGCCGGCCGGAGAGACCCGGGCGGGGGGCGCCGGGGTGACCATCTGGGCCGCTGCACGCGCGCCCCACGCCAGACACGGGGAGGGGACTGCGAGGCGGCTACGTGACCAGCCTTCTTGTCTCCTCTCTCTCTCCCTCTCTCTCTCTCTCTCTCTCTCTCTCTCTCTCTCTCTCTCTCTCGCTCTCGCTCTCGTTAATTTTTGGCAGACACAGAATAGCCGGGATCCAGGCGAGTTTACTTTGCTCCGTGGGAACTGCCGCAGAGCTGGAGGTGGGGAGCGCACCCTCTTTTCTTAAAGCTTGGATCCCCCCCAGCCCCCGAGGTGGTTCTGGTTTTGCCTTGGGGTTTTCTTGCCCAAGTCAGTGGTGTGCAGTCACACCTGTGGGGGCACTGGGACGGGGCTCAGGCCGGGGACGGGGTTCAGTTGAGGGCAGGGCTCAGGCTGGGGACAGGGCTCAGGCAGGGATAGGGGCTCAGGCTGGGGACAGGGCTCGGCTGGGGTCGGGGTTCAGCTGGGGACAGTGCCAGGCTGAAGACAGGGCCAGGCCGGGGTTGGGTCTCAGCTGGGGACAGGGTTCATCTGGGGAGGGGGCTTAGCTGGGGAAGGGACTCAGGCTGGGGAGGGGCTCTGCTGGGGGTCCGGGCTCAGGTATGCCGCTGGCCCCATCCCGAGGCGACTCAGCCTCGTTCCAAGCCGCCACATCTGACTACCTTTGAGAACCAAGCCGGGGAGACCTGAGGCTCCCGTGCCCGCCGTCTTCCCACCCGTGTTCATTCCAGATGGTGCCGTTCGGGCTGCGATCCAGTTACTTTTGTGTGCGTGTGGCATTCCGGCTTGGGAACTGAGACGGTGTGAGAAGTGAAAGGGAGTGAGCTGCAGGGCAAAGTGCCCATGGGTTTTATTGGCTTTTACTGCCTGTAAAACAGGCAGAGTCCTATCCTCTAGATATCCTCCTGTGCGGTCCGCAGGTGGCCTGTGAGGACCATTTGCTTACTTATGACTGATTCCCCAGAGAGCCCATGCGGTTTTTTGTTTTGTTTGGGGGTTTTGTTTTTGGAAGAGGGGAGCTTTTCCTTGTTGTTTTTTTTTCCCTTGACTCCTCAGGTGTGAAGTCCCATTGGGTACCATCTGGTCACTTCCCCATTTGGCCACTAGGAGGATTGCGAGATGCCGAGGACATTTGCGACTTAAATATGCAGATATTTATCTCTGTCTGAGGACTCTGAGCTTTTAGTATTGAACTCTTGCAGCGTTGCCATGATCTGAATAGAGCCGGGCTCTTATTAGTTGGCCTTCCTACAGAAGAAGCTTTCTTACCTTCTCCTCACAGTTGCTATTTCTGATCTATGCCCCCAACCCCTTCCGGTTTGTGGTTTTTGCTGTCGGTCAGGGATTGCGCTCAGGGTCTTACCTATGTGAAGTGTGTGTTATGCCTCTACACTATATTCCCTGGCCCAGTTTCTGGTCTTGATGGGAAGAAAATTCAGAGTAAGATTTTTTGTTTCTTGTAGAGAAGCGTTTCTATACATTTTAGAAGAAGAAATGATAGTCTGCATTTCATCACAGCTTTGTGATATCCAGGAAAAACCCACAAAGTGGAAAAGTATAAAACTCATTAACTACTTCCGTTACTAAAACAAACACTTGATTAGAAACAAATTATCTATATCAACAAAACTTTGAATAGATGTATATTACCATCTAAATAGTTGAGGAGGCAGCTTACTGTATACATTGGAGGTTTTTGTGTTTTTTTTTTTTAATTAAAGGTCTGAAAAAAGAACTGTGTTTGATACGCAGCTATGATAGAAGACTGCACTTCCTCTGGAGGCCCATCTTGCCATTTGCGGTTTCTTTCTTCTTTTGGTAAGGGGAGGCAGGGTCTGATGATAGGTCTGAGCTCTTACTAGCTACCTAGAGGGTGGCTTAACAAGAGGCGAGTCTCCACTCATTGGAGCGCAGAGCAGAGCTATTAGTGGGAGCCTCTTCCCTTGCCTCCTGAGGCAGTAGGCTGCAATTTTGCGTTTGTTTATTCATCGTGAGTACAATTTGGGAATGCAGGAACTGAAAGAAAATTTAGAGGGCGACCTGATTCGCCTTCTTGGCATTGGTAGGAAAGAGGATCTATCTCATTTTCATCTGTCTGCCCGTTCACTCTGCCTCACAAAGGGAATTTCATGGCTTCCACCAGTAATCCATTTTGGACTTCCTGGCATTGCTTTACTGCAGGGGATGTCTCACGATTACCCGGGAACTCCAGCCTTGAGCGGCTCTCGCAGGTGCCTGCCTCTGCAGTGCTTCTCTTTGCGGTTTGCTTTGGCTCTTCGCGCCTCTCACTGCTCTTCTGCAGCCTGGGTGGAGAGGGCGCTTCTTCCCCCTGTGACCTCCGGTCCAGAGAGTAGGAGCCGGGCGAAGATTCAGAACGGAAACTGAATTGGTTCTCAACACTATGAACAGCTTCTGGCCCTGGGGAGACGCTGAAGCCCATTTTCAACACCGGACATCTGCTGGGCGCCTTTGCCCTGGGGTCGCGAGCACTGAGCCTGCATCCCCACAGGCTCTGTTTCCCATGTTGTTTTCCTTCACAGATGCCTAAGCGTGATGAGACATTTCCCTCTCACAGGAATGTGATGCCTTTGTCGCCTCCAGGTGAGATAACTGCTTGAAAAAAAAAATGTCTGGAGGCTCCCATTGGTGCAGATTCCAGGCCTAGTGCCCAGTGGGATTGTGACATGTGAGCTGCCGACCTCTTCACTTCCTTGGCTGCCTTTCACCATTCATGGGCTAATGAATTGCTTGGACCCTCGTTGCTTCCAGTGCTAGCTGCCTTCTTTTTATTTTTTCACTTCCTTTCCTGTCCTCTTAAGTCATCTTGATCGCTTAGCAGTATTCTGGATGCCACAGATGGATTTAGTGTGGCCTTCTCGAAATCTTCTCGGGAGCTCTCCATCTTAAACTTCTTGGGACCTTGATTATTCTACTAGAGTTCTTCTTTTTCTTCCCTTTCTTTCCTCCTTCCTTTTCTTTCTGTCAGTTACTTGTACCTGAGGCATTTTACAAGCTCAGTATCTTGTTTTATTCTCCAGGCTTTATATAGTCTCTGGTCGCTGGCATGCTCTCACACAGTCCCTGTATTGCAGGTCGGGACCTTGCGTGGAGGTAGCCGCATCTCCAGTGGGGAAACTGGGAACGGCCAGAGCACCTGGATCTGGGAAACATGTCCCGTCGGAAACAGACAAATCCAAATAAAGTTCACTGTGAGTATTGGGCTCCATCCTCGGAGTCTAGGGAGAACCTTGGGGGTTGCAGTGGAGGGGCGATCTTCATTCAGGAGACAGATTCAGCCCCTCCGGTTAAAATGTGTCTGATTGCTTGAGGAGGTATAGAGTTGCCTCCAACAAGGCGCCCTAGGTTTACCCTCAGGGTCCAGGTTATAGAATACTGACAGTGCTAAGCCTCGTGCTGGAGGCCAGGATGGTAAAGCAGGAGAAGGGGGTCAGGCTGCAGCAAGCCACGGGTCCTGATGATGAGCTCTCTGTCACTAGTATGTGTGAATATAGAGCACGCGTGTGCACACGCACGCGGACACACACACACACGATGGCATATAGTAAGTGCAGCCAGCTGTAGTGCAGACATTGAAAGACATTAAGAGAACCCCCCTGAGGCGCTGGAGCAATAGTACAGTGGGTAGGGCATTTGCCTTGCACACAGCCAACCCGGGTTCGATTCCCAGCATCCCATATGGTCCCCCGAGCACCGCCAGGAGTAATTCCTGAGTGCAAAGCCAGGAATAGCCCCTGAGCATTGCTAGGTGTGACCCAAAAAGCCAACAACAACAACAAGAAAAAGACTCCACTGAACTGACAGTGAGGGAGTGCTTGGGAGACACGCCAAACCATGAACCTGAACAGGGCTTTTAGAGATACAACGGAGTTGGCTTGCTTTGTTGAGGTGCCGGGCATCAGACCCTGATCTCATACATGTGAGGCATGTTCTTTGTCACTGAGCCACTTCCCTGGTCCTGAAGACAGAAGGTAGATTTTGAGAGGGAAGTGGAAAGGGTGAAGGAGTTAAGAATCAAGTAGGGACATGATGTAAGCAGATATATAAAAGGGGGCGCATGTGATATATTCGGGGGACATGAAGACTGTGCAAATTAGGAATTCCTTTTGTCCAGGCATCATAGGACGTGAGGTTAGAGGTGTTCAGTTTCTGCATGGTTTGTAGAAACCAAGATGAGTTCGCGCTTTGTTCTGTGCACAGTGAGGAGCTCCCAAACATTTCTGAGTTGGAACAAGGAGGGAGCAGTTGGATGCAGTGTGTTACAGTGTGGCTGATTCACATGTGCGCACTTGAGAGGAAACAGACCAGGGATGCATTATTGCTGAGGTTATTCCTCAGTGTTTTCACATGGGGGCTTTGTCGTGGTCATTAGCTTATAACCTTGAGACATTAGGGATTATTTCCTGTCTGTACTCCTGCATTTTCCCTCTCCTTTAGTACTTCTCATAAAGGGTGTTTGCAGATGCTTTAGTAGGGGCAGGAAACGTGACTCAGTGGTAGAGCACATGCCTCACAGGTATGATGTCCTGGGTTCGATCCCTGGTACTGTAAATATATATATATATATATATAGTTTTAAATAACAATACATTTTAATAGTACATTTTTCAGAGAGAGGAGAGCCACACCTGGCAGTGCTCAGGGCTGGCTCTGTGCTTGGAGATCACTCCTGGTGGGCATAGGGGATCATAGGCGGTGCTGGGGATCAAGCCCAGGTCAGCTGAGTTTAAGGCAAGCGCTGTACCCTCTGTCCTATCACTCGGACCCCCACATTTGTCTATATTTAAGATAGGTAACTTCCTATGTTCTGGGAGATGGGCATTCTCACCTAGCTGTTTATAAAGGAGACAGATCATTCAGTAGGGAGGGCAGACTCGCTGGAGCACAGACACACCTGAAAGGAATTCGGGGTATGACATGGAAGAGAAAACAGGATGATGGTGTGAACCATTGTTGGGTTACACTTGGCTGTGGCATACCACAAACTGCAGCAGCATCAGTGTGTTAAGATTAAAAAAAACAAAAAAAATCCCCTCTCCATGTAACGGACTGTTAGTTTGGGAGTTAAGATAACAGGACTAAAATTGATTAAAAGCATACTGCACACCAGCCACCACGTGGACATTTCTAGGCACGGGCGAATCGTGGGATGCTGCTTAGTGTAAAAGTGGTCACCTAGGAAGGATTTAAGGATGACTGCTGAGACAGTAACGTGTAATGGCCTGAGTGCGTGTGAATGGGGGGAGGGGAGAGAGAAAGAGAAAGACAGACAGACAGACAGGAGGGAGAAAGAGAGAATAAAGCACCTCTAGCACGGGCCCTCCAGCACAGTGGTTGACGTTGTCTTCTCTTGAGTGAAGGTGAGTATTGGTAGAAGACACAGATTGCACCCCGGGGAGGCAGGGCAGCAAAGGCGCTCTTCATAAGATCATTGGTTCACAAGATGCTAATAGCGGTGAGCTGACCTGTGAAGGCCCTGTCCAAAGAGAATGGCGAGATTGGAGGAAAGTAGCTCGTGGGCATGTGGCATGATTGTGGCAGGGCCAGGGGAGCCACTAAAGGCTAGCGTGGCTTATGCTTGTGTCGACGAAGCATTCCTTCCTGCAAAGCCAGTCAAACCCCGGGGGAGCCAGTGGGTGTTGGACACAGAACAGGGGAAAGAGGAGAGTGTCACTCGTCATCCATGGCATAGAGCCAAATGCTAATGAGATGAGGGATGTTGGCCTTGCAGGGGAGGCACGGGACTCTGCTGGCCCCAGGGACTGTGAGCGGGAGCGTTTAGCTGCCGTGAAGTGTAGCCCCCCACTGGGGGACCTGAGCAGGGAACCACGAGGGCCTCACAAGGGATGGACTAAGCCTCGCCTAAGAAGAGAAGACACTGGAAATGGTGCTGGAGGCTGAGGACCTGCAGTTGCTTTACTAGCTGGGGGCTGAGCTGGCCCTGTCTTCTCAAAAAGGTCAGCGTCTGCTTGCTGGGAAGTAATGGCCAGGAAACGTAAGCGCGTTCAGACTTCGGACTATGTCTGTCTCCTATTCCTGGCCATGAAATGGAACCAGTCAGATGTATTGATTTGAAGGTGTTGCTCGTCTATTTAAAGTCAGCGGAATGGACTTAAGGTCTAGGAGGCAGGAAAGCCTGCAGAACCTTTGTTTAAGTATCACAGCCATTCCGCACTAGAGCAGAATAGTGACTGAGTTTCATTAGGTCTGCCTCTGGGAGGATGGTGGTGTGGCGGGAAGCTCAGAGGCCACTGAAAAGAATAGAAGGGGCTGGAGGGATAGCACAGCGAGTAAGGCACTTTGCCTTGCATCCTATATGGTCTCCCGAGCACCGCCAGGAGTAATTCCTGAGTGCAGAGCCAGGTGTAACCCCTGAGCATCGCCAGATGTGACTCAAACCCTGGGGGGGGGGGGGGGGGGGGGATTCTGATTCCCACTTCTGTCGGCCAGCAGCATTTGTCCATCTCCTTGGGAAGCCAGCAGACGGGCTGCTGTGGTATTCACTTTTCTCAGGACTGCTTATGTAGCTAAATCACTACCCTGGTCTCTCCTTACCCCAGACACACCCAGACCCGCTCGGCGTTTTACCCGGTTCATTAAAGGCTTGGCGCGGGCTCTCAGAATAAAGGTGCAGCATCCTCAGGCAGAGGGACGCTGCTTGCTGCCGGCCGAAGAGCTCGTCCGACCGCTCCCCCCCTTCTTCCACTCTCCTTCTCCATTCAGGCTTTGGTTTCTGGAGAGGTTGAAAATGGAGTCCCTTACAAACACTTTGATTTGGTTTATTTATACCAAACACTCAGGAAAGAAAATGCTTTCCTGAGAGATTGTTTTCAGATTGCAAATATCTACTTGACTTTTTCAGTTTCAGTTTGCCTTTAAAGAGACGGAGGGAAAAGGGCTTCACAGCCCTCCCCCCGCACACACCCCCCTTCTAAACTTAGCAGAACTTTCTGCATTCACTGTCAGCCTCCCCATGAGATAAGTGGGTGTCTCCACACCCTGTGATGGCACCTTGGCTCACAGACCGTCATCTAGAAACAAGGCCCTGGGCCCCTCCCTCCCGGTGCCAGCCCCCCTTCTCCTGAACTCGACACCCACACTCTCAGCATAGGGGTCAGCTCTGCTGCTTGATTTCAGTTAGTGAGAAACCACATTCATTTAACTGCAGCCAAGGAATCGAGAGAGAACCGTAAAATTGCTGCCTCTAGTACTGTGGCATCTGGTGCGTCTCATCTGTTCTCCAGCCCTGCTTCTGTGACCCTGTTCTTCCTTGGTCTGATAAAAAGGTAACCAAGTCCGACAAAAAGTATATTTGTTGTTATGCCCCCCACAGAAGGTGAGGTAGCAGCTGGCTCTATCTGTGGAGCTTGGAAGACTCTCAGATATAACAGGCAGATAAATGCCCTTGTTAATAAGATGGTAGCCTTGCCTTAATACCCTGTGGCCTGGGCAGAGGTTCCCATCGTATTCGGCTACCGCTTGCTTTTCAGAAAAGAAACCACCCGGGGCCCACTTGGCAGTCTTCCTTGTTGAAGCCAACAAGCTGTGCCCAAGCGCCCAGCTATGCTCAAGCCCGCTACTGCCCAGGTCCAGTGCCTTCCAGGGCATGGAGTTGCCCCCTTTGGGAAACTTGGCTAGTGTTTCTTTTGGTTTTTGGTTGATGCCCAGGGTGGGGTGGCGGGTGGGGGGGCAGTCCTTGCTGATAGTTCAACTTTGTGATGCTGCTCAGGCTCTGCTGTGCTGTGACCACCTTAGTGCTGGGTGTCTAGGGCTGCACCCAGCAATTCTTGGAGGGGAGCCATATGGTGCCAGGAACTAAACCTGGCAGGGCGCATGCGAGGCAGCAGTGTCCACTTACTAAGTAAATACAACGGGCCAGCACGTCGCACTGCCTACTTAGGGACAGCCCTGGGTGGGCCGATGGAGGGGTTAGATAGGACTACTGAGAGTTCCAGCCAGCAAAATCACTCCCTCTTAAAAATGCATGCCTGGGGGCCGGAGAGGGCACAGTGGGCAGAGAGCTCATCTGGTACCCCGCCAGCCTGCATTGGATCCCCGGCATCTCATATGGCTCTCCAAGACCACCAGGAGTTATCTCTGAGCACAGAGCCAAGAGTAAACCCTGAGCACTGCTGGCGTGGCCCAAAAACCAAAAAATGTCTCTTATGTATTTTGCTTTATGTTAATTAAAAGAGGAATAGCCTTTTGTTTATTCCTTTTCTGGGGGCCACACTGGCCAATGTTCAAGGGTTTTTCCTGGCTCTGCACTTATGAATTACTCCTGCTAGGGCTCAGGAGACCATAAGAGATGCCAGGGATTGAACTGCGGTCGGCCGAGTGTAACACAAACACCCTACCCACAGTACTATTGCTCGGGCCCAAGAGGAACAGCTTTGAGGAATAAAATTTCCCTGGTTCTTTCACGCCATTCATTAGGAATGGAGTGAAATATGAAAGCACCGCTTTTGCAGACTGGGGTGTGGCTCAGTGGTAGAGCATGTCTTGGCATATGTGAAGCCCTGGGTTCAATCTCACACGTGACAAAGGCAAAACAAACATTAACAAAAGTGACTTTTCTTCCCAACCTGCCAAAAGGAAAAGGAATAACTGAATGAATTTCTCCCAACTATCCCTGGCAAAATTGCCAGCCAAAGTTCTGTACAGGAAAGTCATATTGAAGAGACTCCTGATCTGTGAAAGCCTAAATATTTAGATATCCCTAGACCAATAATTTTTTACTTCAGTTTGATGAAGACAAAACTTAATTTCAAGCTGATCTCAAAAGGATGTTCCTTTTATAGGTTCTTCTGACAATGCAGAGGTGACCCCTCCTGAGGGAAAATGTCTGTTTCTAGTCTGTTTTACACCCAGTTCCTTTCTGGCTAGAGACTGGAGGTGTCATTGAAGATGACACTGAGGACCAGCCTGATAAACATCTGCTGTTGTAGACTTTGCTCCCCGGCATCCGTCATAGCTGCCCATTCTCTATCCAGTAGAACTTAGTAACTATTCCAGTTGCTTTGGTCTTGCTGTTTCAGTGGAGTTGACATGGAGAAATGAAATATTTCACTTCTGCAAAGAGGGATGCGGTTGTATTCTTCCCTTGAAGTCATTGATAGCCAGTGTATTGTCAGACATTATGAAATGAATCAAAAGCAACTTATTACTGGAAGTACGCTTGGATGCGAGCACCCGACTGCCACGCATAGTGCCGGCTAAAGAAGACACTCAGGTCTGGTCCTCATCACTTGGGGGCAGAAGCACGAGAATGAGGGTTTCTTCTGTCACCATGAGAATCTGGTTTCGATGCCCAAGTTGTATATGTGGGCTCCTTCTGGTATGCAGGGAACACTAACCCTGCGATCACATTGTGTGTGTGTGTGTGTGTGTGTGTGTGTGTGTGTGTCCCACCCCCGTGCCCAGAGACAAGCCTACAAACTTCCGAAACTTCTGCTTCTGCCTCTGCTAGAAGATAGAAAAAATATGGAGGATAGGGGGAGGAATTAGATATTAGCTCTTGTCAGCTTTAATACTTAGACTTGTTTTCTCCTGATTAAAATATGGGTAAAACAACCTACCACAGAGAATTGTACAGAGAACTGGGAAGACGGACCGTCTAGGAATAAGAAGGCCAAGCCAGTAACTCTGATCAGGTCTCTGGTAGCGAGAGAACTGTGAGAGGTGAACAGCTGCTGGTGGATGCCTCAGATCGTGCGAAGCCCACTTCCCATCCCATCTCTCACTGCCTGGTGCTGGTCGCACAGGTCAGCCTCCCTGTCCATTCTCATCAGTCTGCCCTCTCGGAACCTGAGCCTGTTTGCTTGCCTCTGTCTCCAGGAAGAAAATGCCCAGTCTATTGTCAAACTTGTCACCAGGGCTTTTATTCTGTCTTGGTGGCTGGAGAATGGGGACCGCAGTTTCCACTCTGACTGAATGGAAACCTCAAGAAACCCAATTCTCTTTTCTCCTTGGGCATGGCCTCTTGGGAATAAAAGTACATTTCAGTGTTAACTCTTCAGTGACCTTTCGGGTCACAAGCCGAGTTCATCAGATGTCAATGCATAATCAAAAATAGAGGGGCAGAGCAATAGTACAGTGGGTAGGTCGTTTACCTTGCATGTAGCTGAACTGATGTTTGATCCCTGGCATCCCATGTGGTCCCCAAGCACCACGAGGAGTGATTTCTGAGTGCAGGGCCAGAAGTAACCTGCACATCACCAGGTGTGACCCAAAAAGCAGAAACAAAAACCCCACAACAAAATAAAAAAAAAGAACAAGGTTTTTGGACACTCCATAAATAAGATGTTGTTTTTTTGCTTGTTTGTTTGTTTTACTTTTTGGGTCACACCTGGCAATGCACAGGGGTTATTCCTGGCTCTGTGCTCAGGAATTACCCCTGGCAGTGCTCAGGAAACCATATGGGATGCTGGGAATCGAACCCAGGTCGGCCGTGTACAAGGCAAATGCCCTACCTGCTGTGCTATTGCTCCAGCCCCTAAATAAAATGTTTTAAAATTTTATCTCATTGGTTCTCAAAGCCTAGATAGAATTTTATTTGTTACAAATTAGGTAGCTTACTTGGGAAGTTTATTTCTCAGCCATGTGAGTTTTTGTTATTCATAAAGTTTTATATTCTATCCATTAAGATTATATTGTATACATCATATATTGTTTTTGTCAAATCCACTATTCAGCCATTGGTGGATTCGTTCGTGTCTAATTCTGATAGGCATTAGGAAATTAAGGAAGACTTCCCAGAGCATGTCCTAGAAATAGAATGCTGAATGATGAGATTAGAGAGATTGTTATTTCGATTACTTGAAGCATTGGTTTCAGTTAGACCCTGAGGCAGAGTCTAAGCTTACATAGTAAGATTCAGCAGTCAGACCCAGGTTTGTTGCCACATTTTTGTCCCATCACTCTCCCTCCTCTTGCCTCCATCTCCCCAGTCCTGATGGAAGGTTTTAAGCAGAATTGGGAATCTGAAGTTCATGTGGTAAGGCCGCAGTTGACCGCTTTTTGAAAGGAGTCAAGATTAGGAGGCTCGGGCCAGAGCAATAGCACAGTGGGTAGGGTGTTTGCCTTGCACGCGGCCGACCCGGGTTCGATTCCCAGCATCCCATATGGTCCCCTGAGCACTGCCCAGGGGTGGTTCCTGAGCGCAGAGCCAGAAGTGGCCCCTGTGCATTGCCAGGTATGACCCAAAAAGCCAAAAAAAAAAAAAGATTAGGAGGCTCTAAGAGCAGGAGATGCTTCCCGGAGCATCGGGCTCACTGCCCTGAAGAGTAGCTGCACCAGGAGCAGTGGGGCAGGTTGGCTCACAGAGGAATGACCCCGCCTGGCTTGCCTCCTCCCTTTGATCGGTTTGATTTCCTAAGCAGCTTGGCTGGGGGATGTGCTGCCCAGCTGGTGGCCTGACTATTTTTCCTTGTGACCACCAGGGGATCAAGTATTTGCTGGGCTAGAAGAGCAAGCCCGCCAGGCGATGATGAAAACTGATTTTCCTGGAGACCTTGGCAGTCAGCGACCAGCTATCCAGCAGCTCAGAGATCAGGACTCCAGTAGCAGTGAGTTCTGCACCTTCTGGTAATGACTCAGGGCGATGGGAGAAGAATGATCAGAGTGTGTGTGTGCTCTGGGGGTGTGCATGGGGGGAGAAAGACATGAAGGAGGAGACGGCACATCCTCACTGCTCCCATAGCTATTCTGGGTGTATGAACACGGTGGATCCAAAGGGAAGGGACAGGTCTGGCATTATATTTTAACTCCTGGCCTGGACTACTGGACACAGTGCCATACTCAGATCTGTTTGTGATGATTGTGATAAACAAGGGCACAGAAATAATTTCGTACTCGAGCAGCCCCTGGGTTTAGGCCAAATGAGAAAAACAGAAACCCTAGCTCTAGGATCTATTCTTTCGTGATTAATGAATGTTCCGAATGTCAGTACTTTCACAAAAATGTGTATTTGAGGATCCAGTTTTAATGTTTCACAAAAGGACTGTGGTGGGGGTGGAAGAGTTTGGGGCCACACCCAGCAGTACTCAGGGTTTACTCCTGGCTCTGTCTGTTCAGGGATCACTCTGGGCCGTGCTCGGGGGCCACATGTGATGCCGGGGATCAAACCTGAGTTGACTGAGTGAGAGGCAAGTGCCTTAACACACTGACTATACCGTCTCTCGGGCTCCTCAAGAGGATTTTCTAAACTGGTGAGGCTTTGTAGGATAAGAAAATGCTACAGTGAAGGCTCCTCACACCAAGTCCCAGGCAGATCCTTGTGATTAAAAGAGAAAGAAAAAGCAGTGGCGGGTAATGGGGTGATGGGGTGGGGCCCTGTGTATTGTTCCTTGACTTGTTTGAACAAATTAATTATTTGTTTTGGGGCTACACCCAGCAATGCTCAGGAGTACCTCCTGGCTCTGTGCTCAGGAATTACTCCTGGCGGTGCCAGGGGACCATATGGGATGCCGGGGATTGAACCCAGGTCAGCTGTGAGCAAGGCAAGCCCCCTATTCACTGTACTATTGCCCCCACCCCCTGAACAAATTAATTTTGAGATGATTTTCAAGAATGATTGCCACACTTTACTAATCTCATCTGCCGATGGCTGGTGGTTGTAAATGTCAGTAGAGAGTGACATTTCTGATTTTCCTCCACATTTGGAGTTGAGAAAAACTAAAGCAGGAGAGTGTTTTTACACCTTCTAGCAACTATGTGTTCACTCAAACTAATAATTAAGCAACAACAGCAAAAATAATTCATCAACTAATTACTCAGAGCAGAAAAGTAATAATAATAATAGAAAATATTTCTAGAAGACCAGTGGGAACTACAATTCTGAGTCATAGGTGGGAATGGCAACATCTAGAAAAGCCTAGTAGGTCTTCATTCTAGAAAAGATGCGTCATCATTCTAGAAGAATTATTAGGAAAAACCTCAGGGGGGTGGGCGACTGCGGAGCTTAGTACAGCAAGCAGGGTGTTGGATCCCTGGCATCCCATATGGTTCCCCAGCATCACCAGGAGTGATTCCTGAGTGTAGAGCAAGGAGTAACTTCTGAGCATGGATGTGACCCAGAAACAACAAAAAAAAATTTTTTTCCAGGGCCAGGGAGGTAGGTCAAGTTAGAGCCCAGGCCCTGGCAAGTGTGAGGCCTCGGATCCCTGGCACTGCCAGGCCCATGAACCCCACGGGATAAGCACCAGGCTGGCAGACCAGGCCAAGCATCACCAGGAGTGGCCTTTATACAAAAATAAAAAGGAATGGAAAGAAGTTCTAATAATGTAGTTGGAATTTTTTTAATTAATTACAAATGTATACTTGCTCTATTATTGTCTTAGACCAAACTTACAAGTTTTCCAAATGAGCTGGGGAGGGGCTGGGGTGTGTGGTGCCTTCGATCACGAAATTAGCCTGGATCTCTTGCTCAGTCAGGCCCAGGGGTCTTGGGGAGTGGGGGCAGGCCTGCTGATGGACAGCTTCCTCTCAGGACGGTTTTTCTTTTGAGAAACAGCTCCCTTTGTTATCATGGGGCTTACTTTCGCTCATTCCCCCCCACCACCACAGATTTTAGAACTATTAGGGGAAAATAAGTCATCACAGATCTTGTACATTCCCCCTGCCACTGACACACCTCCCCAGAGCCACATCCTGCACCCCGCAGGGAAACAGACTCATTTCATCGTTCAGTCACAGAACTTGTATTTCACCCTAAGGAATGGTTTGTTCCTCCCACCCAATGCATCCAGCTATCTACCAGATAAGCTGAGTCCACAGAAACCAGGAACTTACTGAGCCAGGAAGGCTGAGTTACTCGCAGGGTCAGACAGTGCAGGGCTCAACGTGCGTTCCTGGCGGGCTGGAGACCTAGGTTTAGTCCCTGGCACCGCGCACACACGGAAGTGAAATACCACCGCCGACTGCGGGCGGCTGGTACTGTGCTGATCTTCCCACCGCACTAAAGGCCCTTGTAAAGCGATGACATTCTGAATGAATTTACTACCGCCTCACTTTTTTGGTAAGGGTAAAGAAAAACGGTGTTTCTGTACATGTGCCTTGGGGCTTGTTGGGAGAGAGAAGAGGTGAGTGGAATTGGATGCTCTTGAGAAAAGAGGAGCCGTGTGTTGGCTCCGTGGAGAAATGATGCAGAGGCTACAGGGAAAGGGAACCATCAGGGAGGCGGCGTGGGGAGGGGTGCAGGAGGGGCCTGTGGAGTGAGATGCTGGGAACCGTGTGTACGGGGGCTAACCTTGAACATGACATACAGGGCTGTCCCCATTTTCCAGTGGCATTTTGGCTCAGGCTTTCTCTTGAGAGTATACGTGCGGCTGCAGCTCAATACAGCAGTTCCAGTGATTCACACCCTCCTCAACACTGATGCAGACGCACAACGGGAATCTCAGCATGTTCCCCACGAATTCCAGGGAGGCGAGCGACTGAGACACACTCCTCTCGGGGCCAGAGGGAGTGACCATTTGTGTGTTCCAGGTGACAGTGAGGGTGAGGAAGAGGAGACCACACAAGATGAAGTCTCTTCCCACACATCAGAGGAAGATGGAGGGGTGATCAAAGTGGAGAAAGAATTAGAAAATGCAGAGCAGCCTGGTGGTGGGACCGAAGTGGTAGACAACAAGGCAAGTGACAAATCTCCTGAGTCCGGGCGCCCCTCCTCCTGGCTCAGCGACGGAGCCTCCCTCGGGCTGTGTGTGGGTCGTCTTGGAACCTTCCCAGCCCAGGTCCCCAGCAAGCCCCTGAGCGCCCCTCCCACCCATCTCACTCCCCTACCTGTTGCAGTTCTGCTTCCACAAGAGCCCCCCATTTCTTTGCAGAGCAAGTAGCCCCCTTAGGAAAACTAGGAGCTTACTTGCCAGTGTGTGTGAGTGTTACCCGAGATGCTGAGGAGGCCTGCGGGAAGCTCAGCCTTCCCCTGCAGTTTGCCTTACAGAAAAAAAAAAAATAATAACTGCTTTCTGGGACAACTGGAGAAAACAAAGATGGAAGCAAACACAACTCCCTTTCCCCTGGGATTTTTTTTCCCCTTGTGTCTCCAGCAGGAACCACGAGGAACATGTCCTTCAGGGGGCCCTGGGGAGAGCCTGACACCCAGCCTCACGAACTGTCTGCCTGTTCAATTGTAGGCCGCGGAGAATCTGAGTTCCGACCCCTTACTCGGACTGTGCCAGTGTCCTCTCTGCCAGCTAGACTGTGGGAGTCGCGAGCAGCTGATTGCTCACGTGTACCAGGTACGGCGCAGGGAGCTGTGAGCCCCCCAAGGAAGCTCAGCTCTCCCAGAACACGCCTCTCGGGCCCGGCGCGAGGGCTCCGGGGTAGAAAGCATGCTTTGCATAATAGCGTGAAGGGCGGGAGAACGGGTCCTGAGTAGGAAGCTGCCGCTGTGGGAGGAGGGGAAGGGACCCTTCGACACAGGGGGAAGTGGTCACTCCGGACTAGGACCGGGTGCCGAAAGGAGGAAAGTGACATGCATGAAACCCTCACAGTAATAGTGTTGTAAGCCACAGTGCCTCAAAGGAAGAAAGAAAGATTGAAAAGTGCCTGGAAGAGAGGCAGGCTGTGGGGCTGGGAGGGACACTGATCGGGGCCAGAACATTGTATCCTCGAAAGGCAATCATGAATAACTTTGTAACTTTGTAATTCATGGTGATTCAATAAATGAACCTAAAATGAAGCAAGCATGCTTTGCATGTGTGATGCCTTAGAGGTCCCGGGTCGGCCTTCCTACCCCGCTTGCATCCTCAGGCCCGCGTAGAGAACAAGCAGGATATGTGAGTATTATATTCTGGGTGCCCAGGTTGACATAGAAAATAAAAGCGTCCCTTTTTTTTCTAAGTTATGAAATTCATATTTTAAAAAGGGAAATAGATACCAGAACACATGCATGCATGTGTGAGGCTCTGGGTTTGATCCCTGGCACCAAAAACTGAAAAAAGTGAAAACCTAACATCTATTAATGAGGGCTTTGTCTTAAAGAATGAAGAGAGTTGACACAAGAAATGCTGGAGAAAGCATAAATAAGGCGCTCGGAATGAAAGGCTGCTGTGTTCTCTGTTTTTTGTTTTTGGGCCACACCCAGCAGTGTTCAGTGTTCCTGGCTCTGCTCTCAGTGATCACTCGTGGCGGGCTCAGGGGACAACATGTGGTGCTGGGGACAGAATGTGGTCTGGCCGCATGCAAGGCAAGCACCTTACCCACTGTGCTATCTCTCTGACCCCCGGGAAACTACAGTTTTAGTTTCAGTTTTGGGGTCACCCTCGGTGGTGCTCAGGGCCTACCCCTGGCTCTGCTCAGGGATCACTCCAAGAGGACTCAGGGAACCGAATGGGGAGCCCAGGATCGAACCCGAGTCGATCATGTGTAAAGCAGTGTCCTACCGACTGTAATATCTCTCTAGCCCCCAGAAGACTATGAAAGAATAAAGGGAGGACAGGGCACTGAAATTCTCCTGGGTTCTAGACTTCCTGGCCAGCATCTAGCTTTGGTCCGCCTTGCTCCCTTGACGCATCTGCACTTGCGCCTGCTGAGACCTGTCCCAGCCCAGATACCTCTCCCCATGTCCCCTGTTCTCCAGATCAGCTCCAGGTCCCAGATGCTGTCCCAGCTGAGTGCTCGTCGGGTGGCCTGGCCTGGAGTCTCTGATCCTGAGGTTCGGGGAAGGGACCTTTCCCGGACAGGTCTTGCTTCACGGCTGTGGCCTGTCCGGAGCCGCCAAGCTGACAGTGGGTTCTGTTTTACAGCACACGGCGGCAGTGGTGAGCGCCAAGAGCTACATGTGCCCTGTCTGCGGCCGGGCCCTGAGCTCGCCAGGGTCACTGGGTCGCCACCTCCTCATCCACTCCGAGGATCAGCGGTCCAACTGTGCCGTGTGCGGAGCCCGCTTCACCAGCCGCGCCACGTTTAACAGGTGAGCAGGCGTTGCGCCCTCGCCCTCCCAGCCTGAAGCAGAAGGCAGCTCACTCCCGTCTCCCAGGGAAGAGGAAACGTGCTCTTCCTTGGGCTGTTCCCAGAGGGAGAGGACGTCCCCTGAGTCAGAGCTGAGTCTAGAAAAAAGAGGAGCAGGGAGAAGTTAGCCCCAGGAGCCACGCTGCCCCGGTTCTGAGGGCAGAGCTCCGAGCACTATTGGCATTCCCGTCCTACTGGGTCTCCCCTCAGGGAGGACCCCACAGCCCTCCTGTGCAGTGTTCTGGCGCCCTTAAAAACCCGTGGTGAGGGGGCTGGAGCAATAGCACAGCGGGTAGGGCGTTTGCCTCGCACGCGGCTGACCCGGGTTTGATTCCCAGCGTCCCATATGGTCCCCCAAGCACCGCCAGGAGTGATTCCTGAGTGCAAAGCCAGGAGTAACCCTTGGCGAGGGCAGTCTGTTTTCTGCTGCTTGCCACGTAGGAGGGCTTTAAGACGTGGCTGCATGACACCCTGGCCCAAAGAAAAGCCAGGCTGGGGCATTAGCGGCTTCCCCCCACCCTCAGGTTGACCCCAAGAGATGAACCTGGGACTGCCAATGTGGTGGGCACCAGGGTACAGCGGGCTGGAGCCTGGCATGGAGCCGTGACCCATTGCGCACATTTGCTTTCCAGCGAGAAGCTTCCGGAGGTACTTAACGTGGACTGCCTGCCGCCAGCTCACAGCGAGGGCCCCTCGAGTGCAGAGGGGAAGGACGTGGCCGCCAGCCCTCTTGTGTACCCTGCTGGGGTGCTGCTGGTCTGTAACAACTGTGCCGCCTACCGGAAGCTCCTGGAAGCCCAGACCCCCAGCGTGCGCAAGTGGGCGCTGCGCCGGCAGAACGAGCCCTTGGAGGTGCGGCTGCAGCGGTTGGAGCGGGAGCGCACGGCCAAGAAGAGCCGGCGGGACAATGAGACCCCCGAGGAGCGGGAGGTAAGGCGCATGAGGGACCGCGAAGCCAAGCGGCTGCAGCGCATGCAGGAGACGGACGAGCAGCGGGCACGCCGGCTGCAGCGGGACCGGGAGGCCATGAGACTAAAGCGGGCCAACGAGACCCCGGAGAAGCGGCAGGCCCGGCTCATCCGGGAGCGGGAGGCCAAGCGGCTCAAGCGGAGGCTGGAGAAAATGGACATGATGCTTCGAGCCCAGTTTGGCCAGGACCCTTCGGCCATGGCGGCCTTGGCAGCCGAAATGAACTTCTTCCAGCTCCCCGTGAGCGGCGTGGAGCTGGACAGCCAGCTCCTAGTGGGCAAGATGGCCTTCGAAGAGCAGAACAGCAGCTCTCTGCACTGAGCCACGGCCTCCTGCCCGTCCACCCGGCCCACGGGCACGCGCGCCGCCGGCCACGCGCCGTCCTGGCAGGCACGGGTCTGTGCGGGTGGCCGTGCGCGCCCCTTGCATGTGGGAGCAGGGCGGTGGGTTCAGGAAGGAGGCGGCTGCGGGCAGCTCCGGGCCAGGGGGCGGGCACTCCGCACGGCGGGCACGGCATGCTCGCTGGACTGTGGGGCCCCCGGGGCCCAGGGCATTGTGAGGGCAAATAAATTAATTTTCTCTTTGCTGGCCCTCTTCTGGACTTTTTCTCGGTGTCATGCTAGCCAATGAAGGAGTCATGGCAGAGAAGCCTGGGGAAGTTTCCAGGAAGTGACGTCTGCAAATTGTCCTTTTCGGACAGAGCGTGCTCAGGCTGTCGACACAGTGCCCTTCTATGGGCCTCTGCAAATTAATGGCACATAACCGACATGAAAGAAAGAACTGAGGCCGGATACGGCTCAGCAGTAGAGCGCTTGCTGTGAAGCCCTGGGCTTGATCCCTGGCACTACACACATATGTGAAAGAGCCAGTGACCTTTGGAGGGCCCATTCCCATAACCATAATGAAAAGCTACAATAAATAGCTTTTAAGCTATATAAATCCAGCTTTCCTCTTCTGGCCGCAGATGGGTCAGAATGACAGCACAAGGATTAAGGGGCTTGACCTGCAGGAGGTCAGTCCCCGGCACCACACAGCCCCCAGTCACCACTGGAAAGAGCCCCTACGCACCACTGGGTATGGTTCATCACCACCCCACCTTGCATCCCCAAATGCAATAGACGCTTTGCGCATAACTGGCATTTTCCAAGGAAGATGCAGCATTTACACTGTGTGTGGGCTGGTTTTCCCAGCAGGATTGTTAACTTTAAAAATTCTACCCCACACAGCAGTCAGGAATATGTTCCCAAAAAATAGCTGCAGTATTTTGGTCCATGGCACCAAGGAACTCATGTTTGAGAGCAGAGACACTCTAGCGTTTTATTTATTACCCAGAGCAAGGTAGGACAGTGAGACCCAGATAGAACTCTCTTTGTTTTGGGTCACGCCCAGTAACGCTCAGAGATTCCTCCTGGCTCCACACTTAGGAACTTCTCCTGGAGTGCTCTGGGAACCATATGGAGTGCCGGGGATCAAACCCAGTAGGCTCTGCGCAAGGCAAACGCCCTCCCTGCTGTACTATCGCTCCAGCCCCTTAGATAGAACTCTCGAGCTTTCTAAACAGCCCGAGCGGGGGCAGCTGCAGGGACAGAGCTGGTAGTGGAGAGGCAGTCAAACCACGGCAGGAACTGGAGCTGAAGTCATTCGCAAAAGTTCCCTCCTAGTCGAGAAGAGGCACAGAAACTTTCCTTAGCCTGCACCAAAGGTTTGTGCAGCCTAGATAATTATAGATCGTGAGGTCCAGAAGGAAGTGGCCCAGTTAAACTGTAGCCAGAAAAATAACTATGCCAGGAATGTGGATCTCTTCTAGGATCGTCACAAGGAGTCCAGGGCTGGCTGGCCGCAACAGGTTCAAGGCTATTCTGCGCTACTAACTGGTCTTCACTAAGCAGGATGGTTAGACATTTGTTTTGAAGAAGGCCATTTTAATACACTTATGAGGTACTGAACATTAAAAGTAATTGAGCATAGGCTCGGAGCGATAGTACAATGGGTAGGGCATTTTCCTTGCATATGGCCAACCTGGATTTTGATCCCCAGCATCCCATATGGTTTCCTGGCACAGCCTGGAGTAACCTCTGAGCACAGCTGGGTGTGGCCCCAAAACGATAAAAAGTAATGGGGAGGGGTTGCTGGAAAGATAGTTAAGTACAAAAGGCAGGGTGCTTGCCTTGTACACTGCTGACCCAGGTTCAATTCCCAGTATCCCATCTGGTGCCTCAAGCACCACCAGGAGTGAGTCTTGGGTGCAGAGCCAGGAGTAAGCCCTGAGCACCACTGGGTGTGACCATAAACCACAAAAATTCAAAACATAAGATTTAAAAAAGGCTCTGTGCTCAAGTCCTATATGGAATGCTTCAGAATAGCTGAACACTGTGTGTCAAAGATAATTCTGATTATTACATAAGCCATCCCATTTATTTTTTATTTTTTTGGCTTTTTGGGACACACCCAGAAATGCTCAGGGGTTACTCCTGGCTGTGCACCCAAGAATCACTTCTGGCGGTGCTCAGGGTACTATATGGGATGCCGGGGATCGAACCTGGGTCAGGCTGAGTACAAGGGAAATGCCCTTCCCGCTGTACTCTCGCTCCGGCCCAAGCCATCCCATTTAATTTCACAACAGAGTTCATACAAACTTAGTTATGTGCATTGACTTAAACATCTGCACTGCTGTTACTAGCTGTTTAACTTTGGGCAAGGTATCCAATCCGTCCTGGTTTCACACCCACAAAATGGAAACACTGGCAGCAAGTCAGTGTTAGTATACAGTGAGTGTCCCTAGGCACCTCACAAGTGTTCTACAGGCTTCCTCTTTTCATTTTTTATTTTTTGTTTTGTTTTTGGGCCACACCCAGTGGTGTTCAGGGCTGACTCCTAGCTCTGCATTCAGTGATCACTCCTGGCAGGGCTGGGGATCAAACCTGGGTCAGCCGCGTGCACTACTGCTCTGGCCCCTTTAGTTTGTTTTTGATGGATGCCAGAGATTGAATTCAAAGCCTCACACAGGCAAGTGCTCTCTCGCTGAGCCATAGCCCCGTCTCCTGAGTTTTGTTTGCTTTAAGGACACATCCTCTATGTCCCCTCATTTGGGGACTTCTGGGCCTAAACCAGGGCTGCTCCTGATGGTGCTTAGTACCAGGTAGTGCTGGGGCTCAAACTCTGGCCACCTGCATGCACGTAGCCTATTGAATTGTCTTCCCAGACTCTCAGGGGTTTTTTTTTTTGTTTGTTTCATTTCTGACCACACCTGGTGGTGCTCAGGAATCACGCCTGGAAGGCTGTGGGATGCTGGGGATCGAACCTAGGTTGGCCATGTGCAAGGCAAGCTTACCCACTGTACTATCACTTGGCCCTCAAGGACTCTTAAGTTTCTTTTACCTACTAGTGGCAAGCTTTCTAAGGTAGAAGCAGTAGTTTTGAATGGAGCTGACCTATTCTGGCAATCTCTGGGGGTATTCCAGGAGAGTAGGGATGCAGCTCTCAGTGGCAGAGCTTGTAATTCCCCTGTAGGAAGCCCTGGATTTAACCCCCAGTAGACACACACACACACACTTTCTCATATGCAGTTGGAGACATGACCAGCAAGGAACAGCAAGGAAGTCATCTGCCCTCTTGGTGATGGAGGAGCGTCTTACCCACAGCTAGAGTCGGGTTCTCTGAAATTCGCACCCACAGAATGTGCAGGGCAGGCCCTGCTCCACCCCCAGCCCGCAAGGTCTGCTCTGGACTCACCACCAGGTGTGGGCACAGTTTGCTTTTGATCACAAGCTCTACCACAAGGACTACCTATGCCCCACCCAATGGCTACCACCTGAGACTGGAACAGAAGAAGGCGCAAACACCAAAAGGAAAAGCTAGTAGTTTATATAGATAGATATATAGATATATAGATATTGATATATATGTGTTTACATAGTTCACAAGTTAAATGCAGGTATCCATAAGAAGAGCATTAACAATAAAAATACAATCTGTGTAGCCAAGTACAGACTTAAAATGGTAAAACAGCAAAAAGGATCTCACAAAAGTACAAATATACAGTACAAATTGATTTATTTAAAACAGTTACAAAAAAGCACAACAAAATAGAGATTATCCTTAGAATTATTAATGCTTTGTTAAAGATCAGGTAGGATTAGAGGGTAAGAAATGGTATCGGGTGGGGGGAGCACCTGACTAGTTCTAAGGCTTTAGATACAATGCAGTTGATTACATATTAATTCAGCCATTACATACTGGGGATAGTAGATGGGGGGTCAGTAATTTATCTACAGGGAACTCCTACACAAATCAGATCCATCCAGACCTCCCCAGCGCCATCCTCTCGATTCCTCAGGGCCCTTAAGCCACCTGGATGACAACACCCCCCTCCGACCTCCCCCCGCCCCCTTCCCTAGAATAGACTCTCCCCTCCCCTAAGGTGCTGTGCAAGCTGAGAGCATTTGCTCTCTGCAGCTGGAACAGATACTGTTTGGGCTCCAGGGATCCTGTGTGCGAGTAGGGTGGGTGGAGGGGAACAGCCTGCCTAATACTTCAAGTTTGCCATGACTCTCCTGCGTCTCGTCCCCAAACACGATCCTGATCTCCTCGACAGCGAGTACCAAGTCAGGTGAGGGGCGAAGCCCGCCTCCAGCAATCCCAGCACTCTGCACTCACCACTCACAGCTTCCACTTGCGGCCAACTCCCTGTCCGGGGTGTAAAGCCACTGTGTCTCTCCCTCTCCCTCTGAAGAGCCTCATCCCCGCGACGCTCAAAGACATAAATACCAGCTTGCGAGTCTGACAGTCGGTAAAGGCACAAGGGCGTCTGCAGACGGAAGCCCACCCTGAGGCCATCGTCCCTGCTGGGCAGCTGCGGTCAAGCCCTGGGATCACACAGACTTTGAGTTTGCAATCTACTGGGGGAGGAGCTAGGCTGACAGAACTAATCTAGAAGCCTTTAGTGTGAAAGTGCATTTATTACTACTGTTCTGCGGGGGGGCTCAGCTGGTGACTGGCGCTGGCTCCCCTCCTTCCGCCCAGGCACTGTGCTCGGTGTGCAGGTGAGGGGAGAGGGCAGTCAACTCCAGCATCTCAAGGGCCGGGGCATCATGGGCCCGGACCAGGCCTCGGACCAAGAGTTAAAAGAGCAACACACTGCTGCGAAGACCCAGATGCTTTTTTTAAAATTATTATTATTGCATAATACGGAAGGTCCCGCCTACCCCAGGGAAGCTGGAGGCTGAAGGCTTCCCATCAAAGGGGTTGTAGGTTCCTGATCAACATCCAACCATGGATGGTTCGGCTCTTCAACTGTAGTGTACACTGACTCCCATCTGGGAGGTACTCTAGCTTCAGTGTGCTCTAGTCAGCCTGGCCTTAGGAAGCCAAGACATCTCACTAAAACCTGGCCTTTGCCCTACTGACTTTGCTTAGATCATTAGCTCCTCGCCCAAGGCCCACCCCATCAATCCAGTTACGGTGACTCTGATGGACCCAGCCCTTCCCCGGGCAGCTCCTATCCACGGCTCCCTCCAGTGTGGTCACCCGGCACTACAGCATGCCTGCGTCTCCTGGGCCGCCGCGTAAATGCCAACTCAACACCACCTCCGGCGCTCTTTCAGCCCCATAAACCTCCCTGGGATGTTGACACAGGCCCTGACCTGCTTCCTGTCCCTTTATTATCTTTCTTAAATATGCGATACCAGAGGTGAGAATACAGAGAAAAGCCCCGCTACTAGGCCCTCTGGGCAGGTCAGTGACTTGGAACTCTCTGGACTCCCGGAGAGCACTAAAGAAGTCACACCCTTTGGATCCACCAGCCCAGTAGTAGCATCTCACTCCCTACTTCACACAGCCTTGCTCTGAAGGGACATTCGCGTAGGGAAGAAAGGACAGGCTGCCTGGATTTAACCTACGTGGCGAAGCCGTGGAAGGACAGGGCAGCGAGTGGCAGTGGCAGAGACCAAAGCCCTTGGTGTTGTGACAGATGGGGACCAGAGCACAGAAGAAATAGTCCCGCCCGTGTGGTTGAGTGCTTAGCTCTGGACCCCTGGGACCCCTTCCTCCCACCACGTCCTCCTCACCCCAGTCTGTGTACCCTGCTGTCAGGACCTCAGATTCCATCCACTACTAGACGGACACATGTTTCTGTTTCATACTCCTCGCCGTCCCTAGACCCTGGGAATCACCTGGACACCGGCCTTCAACTGCCCAGTCTTAGAAAGCGAACAGCTTCTTCAATCTGCTCTTCGCTGCCTTCAAACTACCGGGATTCCTATAAGGATGCATGGACCCATCATCAAGTGACCCTCCTTCCCCACCCCGGAGGGGGCTGAGCCGAGGCCAGGGGGATGGTGCTGCTCTGAGCAAGGTTCGTGGCCCCGAGCTACTCTTCTGGAGGGGGACACTCTCTAGGACAGGCAGCGCCGCAGGCGGACACAGACGCATCACACATGCAGTCTGGGACTTGGGGAGAAGCCGCTGGCATGTCACCAGCAATGAGCAAAAGAACAGCAGCACGAAGACCAGGGCCCAACTCGCCATGGTGGAAAGGGCTTTCCGGGATGAAGGCTCAGGTCCCAGGCTGGGCCGCGGAAGGGGTCTGATCAGTATGGAATCAGGAGAGTATCCTTGGCGGACACTGCTGAGTGTCTACCGTGTGTCACTGGGTCCAGTGGATGAGCTCCCTGGGAGGAAGGATGTTTCTGAGAAAGGCGTGCAAGCGGTCACCCCTCCGCAGGCTGGGCCTGAGAGATGAGCCTTCTCCCGGCACAGACATCTGAGAAAAGTCCTTGCGACTCAGCCCCTCGGGCCCCCCCGCTGGAGGAAATAAGCCAGACAAAGCAGCATTCAGAGAAAAGGGTCAGAGAAGGGAAAGGGCGGGATCCCAGGTGCCTGTCAGGGTGAGCGTTCCCCAGACAGGGTGGGCGTCGGGTTCTGAGGAGAACTGAAGACAGGTACTCCTGGTCAGGCTGGTAGCCTCCTCCGGGCAGGCCTCCGAGAGCAACCGACCAAGGAAGGAGCCAGGGGCATGCGGGGTTGGAGCAGACCAGCCAGTCCCAGTCACTCGGTTCCCTGGGAGAACCACCTGAGCACCTGAACGCCGAGCACGACTCCATTCTCAGAACTCCCCCTCCCCGAGGAGGTAGGTGAGATCTTCATCCCCATTTGGCAGCTGGGGAGGAAGTGAAAGAGCGAAGAGGTTGCAAGACTTGTCTCAAGTCTTCGACAGAACAGAGATTGGACCTCAGAGGCTGGGGACCCCTGATGACAGGCCAGGCCCTCGGCCGGTCCCACTTTGAGAGAAATGCCAGGCTCAGGCCCTGGGAGGAGCCTCCCCAGAGAGCTGGGTGGATAATACCCTGAGTTGCTTCAAGAGTCTAAACACCCCTGAAAAACACACAAACAAAAAACCCTCCCCGCCCGCCTCGGAGCTGGCGGGAGAGCCTAACTCTCAAACCCTAGGAGAAGCCCACAGTCCGGGCTGATGCAAGAGGTTCCGAAGAAAATCTGGGCATAAACGGGGCGGGGAAGAGCCCTTGCCGAGGACAGGGGCCCAGGGACTGCAATGCCATCATCAGGACGCCCCAGGAGCTCCAGGGGGGCGTGGAAGGGCGGGGGTGGAGAAGCGGATGGCTGGGGGCGGGGGCAGAGTTCCTGCATTTCCCCACTCGCTGGACAGCCGCGGGGGAGGGGGCAGTGGGGGACACATACCACATGATTCTGAGTTGTGACAAATAAAAAACAACCGAAGGGGTCACGGGAGAGCCCCCGACAGCCCTGCCCCACCTTGAGGTCTTGGTCAGCGTGGACAAAACCAGTTTCGCAGCAGCGGAATGGCAGAGCAGCTGAGTGAGGCGGGCGACGCCATGCAGACAGACACAGGGCGGGCAGCGGGACAGCGCAGGCACTTAGGCACGACAAACACGGACGGGGCACGAGGGCCTGGGGGGGGCGGGGGTCACCGGCTCTTTCACTAGTCACCATCACCAACTAGAAGTGGAGGACGACTCAGGAGCGGGAGCACAGCCCCGCGCGCCGGCCAGGACTCGGGTCCCCCAGCAGGGCCCGGGAGGACGGGCAGGAGGGGGTGCTGGCACAGAGCGCCCCCCACCCCTCCGGCCTCCGACAACTCTTTAAAGTGCAGAGCTCTCAGAAGGGGTCCGGGTGGGACCCTGGTTTCCACCAAGGGGCCTTTCCCTCCCACCACGAAAGAGGGGGAGCTTCAGACAGTTCAACTGCTACGCTAAGCTGTGGATCCTCAGTTTTTGGCTCTTTCTGGACTCCCTCCCTCGCCACCTGCTCCCAGAGCCTGCCTTTGCCTTCGCGGGAGCCAGGGAGGGGGAGGAAGGGGGGGGCCTGGGATTTGGAATGTTTCTTCTCGGGCTCGCACCCCCTTCCTTCCTCAGCCCAGGCCTGCTGCTCCCCGTCACATCCGAGAAGGATGCCGTGGGTGAACACAGACTCTGCCCGGGGAACGCCGCCTTCGGGCCACCCCCACCCCCCAGCCAGCCCCCCACCCCCCCCCCCTGACTGCCAAGAGAGCCAGTCCCTGCTTGGCATGTGCAAATCCTCCACCTGCTGGCGGTGAGGCCCAGCTGCTGGGGGGCCGCCCCGGTGCTGCCCGGGCAGAGGCTCACTTGCCGGCGTTGGAACGCCCTTCGATGGACAGTTTGACCTCCTGCGGGATGAAGGAGGGCCTGAGCAGCGCGGCCCGCGCCTCCGGCCCCTGGCCGCCGTATCTTTGGAAGTTGGGAGCCGGCCGGCAGGCCTGAGCACCGGGCTCCGCCGCCGAGGGCTCCACCCCCCGGGGGCCCTCGCCTGATGGCTCGCTCTGCGCCTCACTGTCACACTGCTCTCTGGGTCCCAAGACTGTCCTCTCGGGCCTCTCCCGGGGAGGCCCCAGCTGGCCTGGGGGAGCGCAGCTGGCCTGGGACACGGGGTGACTGTTCAAGCTCTGTAAACTGATGGAGATGCAGACATCGCCCACCTGGAGCCGATGGCAGGGCAGGGAGAAGAGCTGTGCAGTCCGCCCGGGGCTGCAGGACGACCAGCCCTGGCCATACACGAAGAAGGGGTGCTCGGGGGGTACCTCGATGCTCACTTTGCTCTGCTGCTCACCCACCACAAAATGCAGCAGGACGAACCCAGGCCACTGGCTCTCCTGAATGTCCACCACCGTGCTCGAGTCAATCTTCAGTCCCCCGCTCACTTCGGCACTGCGCACGAAATCCTGGGTCTGGAGGTCCTCCACCCGCTTCAGCTCCCCGGTGGCCAGCTGGATGATGGCGCCTTTCATGAAGTGGGAGGGCAAGTGGGCGGCGGGGACAGGGGGCGGCGTGGGCTCCTTGTCTGGGAAGGAGGTTCTGGTCGGCACATCCAGACTTGACGCCACCAGGATCTCCGAGCCCACAGGGAGTAGGCTTGGGTCAGTTCCGGTGGGCACCAGGTTGCCGTTGGCTACCACCATCGCTTTGGGTAAGGGTCTGTGTCTCGCGGCTTCCTGATGGGGCTGCGGGTAGAACCCTCGGGCCTGATTTTTCTCGGCCGCCTCGGCTGGGTTCCTGGCTGCCCCCCGGCCCTCCCCCTGGTGGTCAGGGGTATGATGGGACAGGTTGAGGGGGCTGGGCTCGTCCTTTCTCGGAGCTGCCACCAACCGATAGTCCTGAGAAGCTAATGTGCCAACGACCCGCTGGACCTCGAGATCAGTGTCGGGGGTCCCTCGGTGAGCCGGCACTGCCCCCTCCACCCGTGCACTCTGCGAACCTGAAAACAACTGTCCGTCCACCACGCACTCCACCGCCGGCCCCAGCGCCTGGCCTTCGCTCTTGCTGCTGGGCGACTCCAGGGCTTCGCTTTCTCTTCGCGCTACGTTTCGCTCTCGCTGTCGCTGTCCATTGGCAGTGGTGGCGTCCAGAGCAGACTGGCCCTCCTGAGGGGCGAGGGCCGGGCTGGCACCTGCTGGAGCGGTTTCATGCACGGTGTAGCCGGCAGGCAGCCTGGACATCTGATAATAAATGGGCATCCGGCCTGGGGCGAGGTCCAGGGGCTGAGTGCTCGCGGGATGGGGCAGCTGCCCTGGCGGGGAGGTAACAGTGGGGACTTTGCTGAATGAGTGGACTGGGGAGGACGCCTGCGGGGGAGGAGTGGCTCCTTCTGCCAAGAGTGAGGCATATGGCACAAAGTGTGGCAGGTGAGAGGTGGTGAGGCCGGCGGGGGGCGAGAGGAGGGGGCTCGGGAGGAAGCTGGGCGGAACGGCATAGGGCAGGCTGTACGGAGACCCGATGAACTGGAGGGAGGCGGAGGGGAGCTGAGCATAGTGGACCGGGGGGTAGTGGATTCCTGGGTGCTGAATCAGTGAAGACGCTACATTAAACGTGGGGGGCAAGGGACTCATGTTCACCACCGGAGGGAGGCCGGTGGGGGAGAAGGTGGCCGGCGGCACAGCCACCTTATACAGCATGCCATACTGGTCCACCGTCAGACTGGCGATGGCCTCGGCTCCGTCGCCCCCCAGGCTGACCCTGGCTCCGGCCTGGCTCTGCCCAGCCACCACCAGCCCTCGGGCCCAGTCGGAGGCATCACTGGAGGGTGTGTGGTTGGTCGAGCAGCTGGTAGTTCTCCCCATGTCCTCGCTGGCGACTGGGAGGTCTCGTTTCTTTGGCGGAAGGCATTCCTGGCTCCTTTCATGAGCAGGTTTCATATTGCTTTGCGGTGTTCCTGGAGCCTGGGAGGAGGCGGCGTGCTCCCTGGGGCATCAGAAGGGGCTTCTCTGTGGCTCCCCTGCACCCCGCGCTGCTGCTGGCTGGGGCGCCCACATCTGCTAGGGAACAAATCAGAGGCAGAGAAAAGTAACCGAGGAGGGAAGCAAGTCAAAGGAAACAGCGGACCTGCGCCCATGAAGGGAGATGGAACAAAAAGGACTTCCGGGGGGAAGAGGGACAAGAAAGGAGCAGGCAAGGACGCACCTACTCATCCAGTCTGGGGCATGAAGAGGCCAGTCAGGAAAGCTGCGAAGAACTGCCCAGCAGGGAAGCAGCCTCCCGTGTGCCAATCAGCCACAACCTCAGAGAAAACAGCTTCTCGGCCGCCACTATTCTCCGCTGCACCAAAGGGCAATGGGCACTGCGCCTTTGCTGCTGGCTCGTCCACCACAGGTTCTGCTGCTGCCAAAGACCCCTGTGCCCTCTTCTTTTCTGAACACATGAGCTCATCTTCACTCCCTTTCCCAGCCTAATCTGGCCTGTGATCTCACCAACCTCCAGCCACCCACCACGGCCTGACTAAACTCTCCCCCTCTGCCCCAGAGCAACATTACCTCCAGGTACCAGGTACCCAAGGCTTGAGTATGCTTGAGACTTCTTGTTTTGAACCTTGCTGCCTATGCATGTCAACATTAGTATCTTCTTTACCCCATGAAATGTTACATTCAAATGTGCATCCTGTGTGGAGAAGAATCCCCACACCAACCTTGCTCTACAACTTATTGATTTCTCCTCCTCCCCCAAGAGGAGGAACTAAACTCTTGGGACCTCACAAGCCTCTGGTTCTCTAGTCTGCCCGACTCTCACAAACCACCTTCCATTTGCTTTCTTCGTTCGCTCCCCTCCTCCCTCTGCCCCCACAAGTTTCTCTGGCCAATGGCTCACTTCCCACAGTAGGTCCACTCCAGGCACCACTAGTTAAATTCTGGACTCATTACTCCAAACAGGCCTGTGGATTCCTCCTTTAGAGCTACAAGACTTGCCAGGAAGTTCTTTCTCACTTCCCTTCCTCTTATCTCCACCTTTCATACATGGTTTTGTCCATCATCAAAAAGAACCTTTTGGTGGGGCAGGGATGAGACTCAGGGAAGATGGGTAACACACATGCCACACATGCACAGGACCGGGGTTCATGATCAGGGCACCACACACGCACACAAGTATCTCTGGATCTTAACACCTGACAGTGCATACGAATTTTGTCACCTATTTCTCTGAATCAGGCTCCAGTTCCTGGGATTCAAAGGCCATGTCTATTACACTCAGTCCTGTTTTCCCACGCTGCTTCCCAGATGTGTTTCTGCAACAGGGTCTCCAAAGTGCCTGGATTACCTGAGCTTTGGGTGGGGCTTCGAAGCAGCTGGAGTTAAGAAGCAGTGTCCTCCCTGCTCTCTTAGGAGCCTAGAAAACAGAAATGGGAAATTAAGGCAGGACCCTCGCCTCGGATCCGCCCTATGGCCATCATGAAAGGCAATTCCAAAGCCACTAGGCGATAAAGCGCAAGATCCTGGCCTCAGCCTCTTCAGAGGCAACAGGACACGGCCCTCAGCGCCAGGTAGTTGACGGGAACCACAAAACTAACCTGACCTCTCACCTGTAGACAGCATCCGTGAACAAAATGCTCCACAATCTTCCTTAACATCACCTTTTTCATTCTCTACCTGTTCTGTTCCTCAAAGTTTAAATCATCTCCAAACCCAATTTCAGGGAAATGGAAAACGACACTATTGCCACATGAACAATGAGAGGCAGGATAAATCAACCAGGGCTTCACCTTTACTCCGGGTCAATGGAAACAGATGTGGAGGTTATTTAAAAGAGAAAAGCAGCAGTATAAGGGGAAAAAGAAAAATTATTTATGTCCCTGGGGCTGAAAAAGAGGTTAAGGGGGAAGATCACGGAAGGAAAAGATTATTAAGACTTTCAGGGTAAAGAAATGAGGGGAGGGGAGAGGAGAGAAGGGGGAGAGGGAGAAGGCTGAGGACAAATTTTCTAAGTGATAACTTTGTACCAACTGCTAAATCAGGTGTGACCTAAGACAGAAACTGAAAACACAGCCTTGGCCCTCAAGAAACCAACAATGGGGAAACAAAACTCACACTAAACCAACAATATATGAACCTACACACATGTCGAAAACATCAAGCACTGATGAATGGGACGTTAATCTCTAAAACAGAGCCGCAGATCTCACCGGTGCTCGGAGAAGCTGGCCACGGCAGAGTCCGACTCCTACAGAACATTGCAAGCCTCACGCCAGACGCAGGGAAACCTTTATCTCTTAGATTGGCAAGGTGTGGATATACAAAACCAGGGCAGGGCGATAGGAAAGCAAAGAGGAAAGACCAATTCCCGGTCCCAGAAACACAAATCACCCGCGAGGCCTGACACCCCTTCTCTGCCTGCAGCGCCGGTCACTGGAAAGCAGCTCTCTAGTCCCTGCCTTTCCTAGCGGAAATTGGGGTCACATCTTCCATCCCCAAAATGATCCTTGTTTCCTGAAGCCGAAAAAAAAAAAAACTAAAACCCTGTCTCTGGGGCAAGCAGAAGAGTGAAAGGACCGAAAGTGGCACTAGGTCTGCGGGAATGACAAAGAATCAAACCATCGCAGCGCAGCGGGTTCTCGCTAAGCGAGACACAAATCGGAATCCGAAACCTCGGCCTCGGGGGTGCGGGGCGGGAGGGGGGTGGCGCCGGCGTGTGGGTGGCTGCTGGTGGGGCGATGAGGGCTGCTCCGGGGGAGGGGGTGGGGGAGATGCAGCTTGTGATCCCAAGCGAGCCCCCCACCCCCACCCCCGGGAACGGGGAGCCGTCGTGCGAGAGCTGCCGCCGCTGCCAGCGGAGCTCCCGAGCCCGAGACCCAAATTCGCTGCGGGCGAGAGGCGCGGGCTGATGGCTCCCAGGGGTACCGCGATCCTCGCAGCCCCCATTCGGGTGGGACCCGAAACTGGGGGGATCCGGCGTTTAGAGCGCGCGGGCTCGACCCCCGCAGGGGATGCATCCTTGTTCCGGGGGGAGGCCCCTTCCCACTCCGCGGACGCCCCAGCCCGCCGCCGGGGACACAGCTGCGGGGGCGCGGGGACCTGATGCCGCCTTCCCGGCCGGATCAGGGGGGCGAGCGCGGGGGTCCAGGCGCGGCCGCCTGCGCTCCTCGGGTCCGCGGGGCTCGGGCCCCGGGTCCGGCGGGGCAGTGGGCTTCGGGGGGCCCCTTCCTCCGGGGCTCCGAGCCCAGGCCTGCTTGGCCTCGGTGAGGCCGGACCTGGCGGCCCCCACCTGCAGCCCACTCACCGGCCCATTTCACGGCGCTCCTCGGGCTCCTCCTGCTCGTCCCGGAGCCGCCGCCACAGCGGCCGCCGCCATCCCCGGCCCCGGAGCCGCCCCACACCCAGCGCCCCCCCCAAGCCGGGCGCGCGGAGATGGCGTCAGCGCGCCCCGCCCCCGGCACGGAGTGATGGCGTCACTGCCCGGGCCCTGGGCCACGCCCAGAACGCGCCCGTGGAAGGGGCCGGCCCGCGCGCAGCGCCCCCGCAGCGCCCCCTCTGGTGGGAAAACGAACTCCACCTGGGGCTGCGTCACGTGACGTGGGTGGGGCCCAGCCACTGACCCCACAGTGACCCTTGCTGGCCTAGTAAATTCTGGGGCCTCCTTGGGGCTTGCCCAGCAGGATCCTCATTCCCAGGACTTCCGGGGCTTGGCAAACCTTTGGTACCTCGGGGAACCTGGACCCAGGAGAGCGGAGAGAGGTCCAGTTCTTTCAGACTTGAGAAATGGCCTCTAGGGGGAGAAGAGAATTGACTCAGCTGGGTCCAGGGGCTGGAGAAAAAGTGGGAGACTGACGAGAAGAGCTTGGGTGTAGTGGGGGTCTGCTTGGCCTGGGGAAAAGGCTCAGTGAAATCTTGGGTCTCCCTTCCTTGCTGATTATCTAGGGGACATGAATATCTTGTCAACTTAAGTGGGGATGAAAATGAACAGTAACTATGAAAGCTTTGTAACTATCTCACAGTGATTCAATAAAAACAAAAGAAAAAGTATGTGGAGTTCATGCCCAATTCAATCAGCTTAATCAATGGCTGAATAAAAAGCAGTACTCCTACATTTAAAAAAAATGAACAGTAACTGTGTTTTGATTAAAGCTGTGATTAAAAAGGAACTTTTGGGGCTAGAGCAATAGCACAGCGGGTAGGGCGTTTGCCTTGCATGCAGCCTACCTAGGTTCGATTCCCAGCATCCCATATGGTCCCCTGAGTACCGCTAGGAGTAATTCCTGAGTGCATGAACCAGGAGTAACTCCTGTGCATTGCCGGGTGTGACCCAGAAAGCAAAAAAAAAAAAAAGAAGAAGTTTTTGGGGCTGGAGCGATAGCACAGCGGGTAGGGCGTTTGCCTTGCACACAGCCGACCCGGGTTTGATTCCCAGCATCCCATATGGTCCCTCGAGCACCGCCAGGAGTAATTCCTGAGTGCAGAGCCAGGAGTAACCTCTGAGCATCGCTGGGTGTGATGCAAAAAATAAATAAATAAATAAGAAGTTTTTCAGAGGACTGGAAAGGCCATGGGTTTGTTTAAATGCTTGCCTGGCATGCTGCCGCCCCCAGTTTTGATCATATCTCTACAGTATTGTTCCCCTGGAATTGCCAAGGGTAACTCCTGAGCACAGAACCAGAAATAGCTCTTGAGCACCACTGGTGTGGCCCTCATAGCCCTAAAAAAATTAAAATTAAGTAAGTAAAAAGTTATGCTAAAAAAACACACACACACAAAATTAAATGGAGAAAAAGTAAATTGAACTATTGGAGAGATTTGCTTCTATGTGGATTATCTCCTTTGGGCTTTCCTAGTGGTTCCACAAACACTTCAATAAGTAACAATTGATTTTTCTTTGACTTAAAAAATAACAGCTGGACTCTGATGCCAGCTCAGGAAACTTAGAAAAGTCATGTTACTATTGCTACTGCTTTTTGTTACTTTCTTCAGTGATACCAGGGATGAATTCAAGGATTCAAACATGCTAACAAGCTATCACTGACCTTTACCCAGGCCCCATTTCACTGCCTTAGACTTGGATTTTTCACCTCTTCCAAATAAAAAGCTTGAACTAGATCAAAGGTTGAGCGTAAAATGTAAGTACAAGCTCTAATTATTGGGGAGGGGACATTGGGAGCACACCAAGTGGTGCTCCAGGACCATGCCTGGCTTTGTGCTCTGTCCCCTGGGGACACTTGGTTCTTAGGGGATCCTATGTGGTACCCAGGAGTCAACCAGGATTGCAGTGACATGCAGGCCCAGTGCCTCCCCTCCTGTCCTATCTCTCTGACCCAGCAGTTCTAATCATTTTCAGTGAAAAAACAAGCCAATTGTATAGTGCTATAACACCTATTTAATATTAAAAGACAACATTTTAGTTGCATATGTATTACAAGACAGAGTCTCCTACCCTATGCCTGACTGTCTCCACCAGGGCCCAACAGCTGAAGACCACCGAGGCCCAGCCAAGGCCATGCTGAGAGCACTCTCCACACACTTGGATGAGCCTCACGCATAAAAGAACTGACAGAGGAACCCAGGTGTGTGGGACCCGGGGCTGAGATCTCCAAGCCTGTACAGTTTGGGACTGGACCTGCCAGTAACTAGACAGTTACACCCACCAACTGCCGTGTAACTCCAACAACGGCCAGGATCCAGAGATCATCACACTCAGCTCCCGACATCTTATCATCTCATTCCTAATTCGGTCAAACTGGCAGGCTACCAAATGTAACATGCCCACACGGCAGAGTCTGGCAAACTCCCCGTGGTATACCCAATATGCCAAATACCAGTAACAATGATGGGTCTCATTCTCCTAACCCTGAAAAAGCCTTGAATATGGCACTTTAAAAAAAAAAAATCTCAGGGCTAGGACGAAGAAGACGTTACTGGCACCTGCTCGAGGCAATCGATGAACAACAGGGTGGTCGTGATCGTGATCGTGATGTATTACATATATATTTATACTATGTTACATATATACTAAGTATGTATATATTTATGTATCTCTACAGAAGAGGATTAAAAAATACATAGTAACTAGGGGCCTGCCTTGATAATACAGGGAGGAAGGGCCCTTGCCTTATGCTTGGCCAAACTGGACTCACTCCCCAGCATCCCATACATCCTACCCCCAGTATCAGTAGGAGTTATCCCTGAGTACTGAGCCAGGAGTAACCCCTGAGCATCGGTGGGTGTTACTCCTCCCCCCCTCAAAAAAAAAGGGAAAAAAAGAATACATAGTAACCAATGTCTATTATCTCTGAAGAGGAGCATGGAATTAGATGAAGGTGAAAAGGAATTTATTGTTCTGGTGGGGGTGCAGTGGGTCTATGCTTGCTGTTCCAGACTTATTTCCAGTTCTATTGCTCCTGATGGATCAAATCCTGGCCTCATGCACTCACCCCATTGAGCTACCTCTCTGTCACTCTGTTCCCTGTTTGGATGTGTGTGTGTGTGTGTGTGTGTGTGTGTGTGTATGAATATTGGTAGCCTAGAGAGTTCTTATCTCTAAGATGATGATGATGATGATTTTGATTATTTTGGGGACACACCAGACATTGCTCAGGGCTTACTCTTGGCTCTGCACTCAGGAATCACTCCTGGTGGGGTTCCAAGGACCATACAGAGTTCTGGGAATAGAACTGCCATATACAAGGCAAGCATGCTGCCCACTGTACTATCTCTCCAACCCACTAAGATTCTTTCTAGGAAAACCTTAGACCTTAATTTTGATATTTTCTCACCTTTATGAATGGACATGAGAATATAGCACTGCAGCACTGTCATCCCGTTGTTCATCGATTTGCTCAAATGGGCAGCAGTAACATCTCCATTGTGAGACTTGTTGTTACTGATTTTGGCATATTGAATATGCCACGGGAAGCTTGCCAGGATATGCCATGCGGGCGGGATACTCTCCATAGCTTGCCAGGCTTTCTGAGAGGGATGGAGGAATCAAACCAGGGTCGGCCACATGCAAGGCAAATGCCCTACCCGCTGTGCTATCGCTCCAGTCCACTGCTGTAAAAACTCTTTGAGGGTGGCCAGGGGATAACACATCGTCACTGTGGAGAGGAATGAACTTACTATGCAACCTCTGGAAGTCTTATTATTTATTTAAGTCAGGTAGCATGAAGAGCAGACACAATTTTTCCGTTTCTCATCTTTGGCAAGAAGCCAAGAAGAGTGAGTTCACTGAGGATATAGATCTTGGGTAAACACTGGACTCTGGGAAATCAGAGGCATTTTGCATGCCAGTGAATAGGCTTCACTGGTCCTGTATCCCAGCTCTGGAGGCCCCTGAGAACTGCTGCGTCTGACCCTGGTGATCTCTACCACCACAGGGCCCAAATTCCCACACATTCCTGGGCCTGAGCATTGAACCCTCTGGAGAGTTAACCGAGTATCAGTAGGAAAGGCCCTTGGACCCCTAAGCACTTCTTGGGAGACTCCCCCATAAGTAATAAAAATGTAAATGGGTAATAAAATAATAAAACATTATTGAAGCTGCTATATTCAAATTATTTATGGCAGTTGTCTCCTCAATTTGGTCATGGAGGAAATCCTGTGGTCATCAGAGATTCCGTTTTAGTGCTAACTGGCATTTGGGTTCTAACTCATTGCTTAGCCCTCTAAACTATCTTAAAAGTGTCAGGAGAGAGACCTTGGAACCATCCGAGTATATTCCTGGGGTTAATTTCTCCCAGTTCAAATTACACACTCAGAGAACTGGCTCTTCACCCAAAGTCAAAGGAACAGACATAGATAGCTGCAAATAAAATAAGTTTGGGGGGCTACCGGCTATGAACATAATAGAGAGGTGAGAAGGGGTGGCTGATTACAAACAGAGGCTGTGCTGGTTGGTGAAGGAGGTGTTTTCCGGGTCTGTTCCTGCCGCCCCCTAGGGCATCTCGGTTCTACCCTTTGCCAGAATTCTTTTCTTCTAGCAGTCTTCCTCTCTTTGTTCAACATATTGGGTGGTAGGAAAACTCCATAGTCTCCGATTTACAGAAATATTAGTGTAAGTAAACCCAATAAAATGTTGAGATTTGAGATGCTGAAATAACCAAAAGTCATAGTAATTTCTAAAAAAAAAAAAAAACTTACTCTCTACGATCTAAATAATTCTCTGTGAAATTAGCACTGCACTGTAGCACTGTCCTCCCATTGTTCTTTGATTTGCTCGAGTGGGCACAGTAACGTCTCCATTGTGGGACTTGTTGTTACTGTGTTTGGCATATCCAATATGTCACGTGGCTTGCCAGGCTTTGCCATGAGGGCGAGATACTCTCAGTAGCTTGCCAGGCTCTCTGAGAGGGGTGGAAGAATCAAACTCAGTTTGGCCGGGCCAGCCACGCTCAAGTCAAACGCCCTACTGTTGTGCTATCGCTCCAACCC